ATATCGGATCAACTTCGGCCAACGCTAGCAAACAGTCTCGTGAGTGCACATTAGTTACCAGAGATGCATATTAGGTCAACAAAAGGCGCCGGATCAACATGCGTTTTCGGATCAACAAAGTGCTCGCGTGAAGTCGCGTCTGATCAACATTTACCGTAAAGAGATCTCATATATATATATATATATATATATATATATTCCTCATCTACGACATCATTAAGTTTGCGTCAGTTGGCTATGTAGTAGTAATAGGTAATTAATTTGCGAGCAATGTATGGAGTGTCCAGGACGTGGTTTAGCCACCTTCTGCCGCCCCGTCTTTAAAAGGGGTGCTTCTGAAAGGTCGCTAAAGTATCTACGTACGCGAGTTTTATTTGTATGATGCATATATTTACGCGGGTTAGTGCTATTCGCACAATATTTCGCTGAGTTAGAATTCTCGTGATTAACAACCACTACTGCGTAAAAGACGTATGTGCATTACATACTTAGTTCGTCATAATATTTACTTTATAAGTTCTTATCAACTCTTTGCATTCCAATACGAGACACAAGATCATAAATGTTGATATTCTATGTTTGTTTTAATATTATCGCAACATTGTATCAAGTTTATGTAGGTACTGTTTTATTTTTTATACGAATACACCCGTCTCTTTTATTTACGATGGCTGCATATTTTTTTTAAAGAATAAGTGTGAACGACGAGCACACAGTCCTACTGATGATAAGTGGATGATGTGGCCTTTAGAAAACTACATCTATCATCGAGTAAGAATAAAAATGCTGATGCGTTACCACCCATGAGTACTAACATGTAATACTTCGTTTCCAGCAAAAAATGTCTCTGATTCTCTACACTCACCATACAAAACACAGCAACTTTGAGGTACGATTTTACGCTGGTATTCTGTGAGGTGATTGTCCTTCCCCTGTCGAGCCGACCTTTTTTGAGTAAGTGTAGTGTAGTGTAACCCCCATGTTAATAAATATTAGTTTTAAGGTCTCTCTTTTCATTTTACAACCTTCCAACATTGCTGTCATCTGCATAGCAATGAATGTTACGGGCTTGCAACATATCATTGATATGCAGAAGAAACAGCGTTGGCGATAGCACGCAGCCTTGTGGAAAGCCAGCATTAATAGGCTGGCAATCGGAGCTTGCACCGTCTACAACGACCTTGATGCTCCGATCTGCAAGATAGCTGGTGATCCAATCGATCGAAGGCCTTCGCAATGTCCAAACTAACGGCCAATGCCTCCCCATTGGACTCTATTGCCTCCACCCATCTGTGAGTTAGGTAGACCAGAAGATCACCAGTTGACCGACCACGGCGAAAACCTTATTGGCGGTCACTAATCAGCTGGTGATCCTCAAGGTACCTCATGAGATGGCAGTTTATAATGGACTCCATTGTTTTGGAGAACAAAGAGGTGATGGCGATAGGCCGGTAGTTGGACGGGTCTGAGCGGTCGCCTTTTTTAGGGATCGGGTGGACGAAAGCCGTCTTCCATGATTTTGGACTACGCCTAGGGAGTAGGAGTACCGGAAAAGACGCGTTAAAACCGGTGCCAACTCTGGAGCACACGTCCTCAGCACAATTGGGGAATTCCGTCAGGCCCAATCGACTTGTTGATGTCCAGGGAGAGGAGTGTTTTGCGAACCGAGCGCTGTGTCAGCTGCACTTCCGGCATGGAGTACTCACACCGCGGGATGGTCGGCGGCGTACTCCCCCCGTCATCGAGAGTCGAGTTGGACGCAAATAAAGAGCCTAGAAGATCGGCTTTCTCCTTTGCGGTATGGGCCAGTGAGTCGTCCTCCCTGTGCAAAGATGGAAGAGATGGCTGACAGAAATTTCCCTGGACAGCCTTGGTGAGAGACCAGAATGCACGGGTTCCAGAAGGAAGGCGAACTAGTTTCTTCCCAATTCTGCCTATGTGCTCTGACATTGCCTTGGCAATGACTCTTTTGAAGGACCTAGAGGCGGAATTATACTTCTTTTTTAGAGCGCTGGTGTTTACATCCCGGGACGCTGATGCGTCAGCCCAGGCTTGGTAGCACTCCTGCTTATAGCATGATGCTATTTTACAGGAGCGACCAAATCATGGCTGAGATTTGCCTCCAATGGGCACCATAGAGGAAGGAATAAAAAGTTCCATACCCTGAACTACCACATCAGCGACAGAATCCGCAACAACGTTGGGATTGTCCGGCGAGAAGCAAACCCGCCCCCAAGATAACGCCTGATTCTATCAATTAAAATAAACATCATGTTTTTAGCAAAAGTAATTTAAAAAAAAATCTAATGCATTCTTTGATGTTCCTATGTAAACATAACTATTCTTACTATCTTAACTTCTTTGTAAATTAACCTTTCAACCCCCTAGCAGTCTCATGAGACCGCGGCCATATTCCGTCAAATCCCTAGCGGTCTCATGAGGTCGCACTCACTCACAGCACTTTAACCCATAAACCTTACATATAGAGACTACTTTTCTATGAAGAAGTTTGGCATTATATAATCAATATGAAATACTTTATATTCGGAAATCCCGAGCGAATTTGCCGGGCGCATGCGACTGCATGGGATTTTTATGGCGCTTTGAAGGGTTAAAAATACGTACTTTACATGCATGCATTCATATAATAACATATTGTAAAAGTCATGACAAAATAAGGCATGATCGTAGTTCTATGTAATCTCAAACGTTTCCATATAATACGTACTTTGGAAATTAAAACATAGGTGTCACAAGTCACATAATTAGAATACAATTTAGTAATTTGTTTTCGGTTTTATATTGTTTGAACTTTTAATTCATAAGCTTTTAACTATTATAATTTATTATTTTCCCGGAAAATAGTATTTACTTTTTTGCGTGCAATATTTACTTCGCTTAGTACGATTTTGAAACTCCTAATATGTAAAAAATTTATTTAAATTTTGTTGTGATCATTGTGAGTCTTAATTCCTGGTGGACACTGAAATAAATATCATAGGATACCATTTTTTGATATACATTCGTTAAAGATGTGGGTAAATTTATATACGTTTTTTTCTCATATGCAGAATATTTGTGATCATACAGAAGATATACATTTAGAGTCAGTTCGGAAAACATTTTTATGTGAAATAGAAACAATAGTCACATCATCGTTCGACGCTTTGGCAACTTTCACTCGAAGACAAATTAAAATAATACAGCGTTCATCTAATACCAAACAGGAAGCAAAAAAACAAACAAACAACAAAATCCCTAGCGTGTGTAAACATCGCGCCTTCTGAGGTGTATAGACGTATACATAACAATCTGTTTATTTCTTTACTTTTTTCCTTTAAATTTGTTTTTAATACAGTTATTTTGCATAGAATTGTGGCTCAAAAATAGGAGTACATAAAATGAAGTTAATTTATTTTGAACCAGCTCCTCCTTTTTCATCTCTGCAGCCATACATCTATAAACCTAAAGACACCCATTTAACCACCCATCGTCGTCTGCGCACTGAGCACAAGGGCGATGCGAAGCTCGACGAAACAAAAGTGTACGCACATAGAACATCACGCACAACGTAAACGTGGAAGGTACGTAACTATAGTTCTGGTATAATTCAATTAGCAATCAGTTTCGCCTGACTACTATATTTCTTTTAAAGTGTTAACTTATGCTCGATACTCCTGGTACAGTAAACTACCCGACATCTTGTATTTATTATTATTTACAACCAATACAAACTACCCAACAATAAATAGTGCTTGTTCATAATCAGCTGTACTTTTAAAAACATAATGCCTTTGAAACACTCCACCAAAAAACCAAATGTTTCCGAGACAGATTCAGAAAGCATTGGTGGACATGGGACGTTTAAAGAGAAAGCGTGAAAATTAATTTCATACTTTTATGGAAGAGGTCCTTACTACATATATTTTCTAGTTTTGCTATCGAACAAACAAACAAATTACAAACGTTGGAGTATTCGCTATCTGAAATAAAATCTCAAGAGAATACTATACAACTCTCAATAGAAACACTGTCTCATAAGTATGATGAAATTCAAAGGAGTTGTAAAAGTTCAGAAAAGAACGAAAATAATATATAACTTCTATAAAACAGCTTAACCCTTGATCACTAACCTTATTTTACAACGCTTATTACTAACCTTCGTCGTTTCGACTACGCCGTATAAAAGGGAGGCATCTAAGGGTTTATAGAATAAAATATTTATATGTGTTTTACTTATTTATTACAATAATCATTTGTTAACATGTTTATAAGTTTTTTATCTACTAAAATCACATTTTAATTACTTTGACACTCTTTTAATTCTGATCTAAGTTTTTACTCATTTGAAATTTTTTTAAATGCTTAATACTTATGAACCAAAAGAAATAAAGACTTAAAAAGTATTAAAATATTAAAATTAAGTAATAAAATCAACAATCAAGAGATAGAGGGCGCTGCATGCCGTGTAAACACGTCAGCTCCGTACTTAAATTGAATTTAAAATTTGTTATTCTTGTTAAAAGAAGTTGAAATTTGTGTTAATAAGTGAATACAAAAGTGTTTAAGTTGGACAAGTAATAGTGTAACCCGTCAATTCAGACTTAAATATGTAAGTGAACTTTTCGAACTTTATAACCGTAAATATGATTAAATAGTTAAAGTTAAGCAAATCCACATAAAAATTTCGCTTTAAGGAAACTTATGAAATATAAAGAAACTAAAAATTTGGTGAAAATCATTGAATAATTGTATTTTCAAAATTATAACCTATGAAATTAAACAAACTACCAAGACGTTGAATCATTTAAAAGTAGCTAATCAAGTTTTGCGCCATCTATTGTTAATTAGATGAAGCTACGAGTAAAACCCATCTAGCGGAGTTTAAAGATATTAACTAATAAAAACCGAATTGAATCAAATATAATCAATAAAAGATATAGTAACTTGACACAAGAGGTCGCTTAATAATATCCAAATAAATAAAATAACTTATCAATATGGAAGAAATAGCAAATATGCATAAGAAAATGCAGGATGACATAACGGAACAAAGAAAAGAATTAAAAAGTTTACAAGAAAATATTTCAAAGCCTATCATTGAAAATATGGACTTAAAATTTAAGGAAATCGTGTCAACAATGAAGAGCTTGAGGAAATTATTTCCTAGAGCTAGAGGATTACGTCCTAGCACGAAATATAACAAGTATCCACAACGTTGAAATGATATCGACAACACACCCTACAGATCACAGACTAGTTAGAGCATCGATACTACTTAATCATAAACGAAATCCATCTAGAAAACATTTTGGAAAGAGATCCACTACCGGTTTAGCAGCCACAAAAAAAGAATATATAAAGTTTTTATTCACAGATAATGTTAAACAAGTACAATTCACAAACATTGAACAAACATTGTACTTTAGTAACTAAAAGAGATGTAAAAGAGATGTAAAAGTACTCTACCAATTCAGGAAAACATTGTTAGACTTATAAAAGAAAGAACACTATTAAAAGAAAAGAAAAATAAAATAATCTTTGAAAAAAAAAAAACAACTTTCAGCCTTATACAAACTCATTAAAAATAAACAAATAATAGTCGAAAAGAGCATCGATATAAAATAATTGAAGATGAACTGGAAAAGAGAGCGTCAGTTAAAAGAGCATATAAAACATTAGACTCTCACAAAACTTGGATTGCACATTTGACAAAACATGGTTCCCAAATAACAATTTTTGGAAATAGCTACTAAATAGTATACATAACTGTATAATAATAATAATAATAATTTCTTTATTCAGGAAAAATTTTAACAATATATATTTGCATCTGCGCCTGAACTAAGCAATAAGCTTGTATCTCAGGCAACAGTGCTCTTTCTTATGGGACAATTTAACAGAAATCTTTGTGATTAAGAAACTTACGTAAACATATTATATCAAGCAATAATATTATTTAAAGTATGAAAATTAAACCTACATATATAACTAAATATATTGTTGTGTGTAAATTGTTCCTCTCGTATGTGGGTGCGTGCTGGTGTATGTGTGTGTGTGTGTGTGTGTGTGTGTGTGTGTGTGTGTGTGTGTGTGTGTGTGTGTGTGTGTGTGTGCGCGCATGCGCGTGTGCGTGTGTATGCGTGTGTGTGCGTGTGTGTTAGTGTGTATGCGGGGGAGAGGGTGAGTAGTATATATTAAAGTAAAAAAATATTTAATGGTATATTAATTATCGTTATAGAAGTAAATCAGTTCTTTAGGGATTTCAATAATACTTCTGTTTCATCATAATCTAGTTTTTGAAGCCATTTGAATATGGTTTTTTTACATTGATTCTTATTTAAAATGTATAAATTTAGTTGCTTATTTATTTTATTGTACAAGAATGGACCAAGAAAACCAAAATATTTATGTGCATACGAATGTTTAAAGGTAGCAGTAAGGCACACTTTGTCGGATCTTCTCTTTATTAATTGAGATGAGGTAAAATTTAATAACCCATGTTGCTTTAAAATCGTCAGATAAATGTATAATTGTCGGACTGTTAATACTTGGCAGTGTTCATATAGTTCATATGTTGGATAGAGAATGGGTAGAAAAGTACAAACCTTTAAAACAGCTCTCTGAGCTCTTTCCAGTGGAGCTAACGTAGTTTTTGGGGCTCCTCCCCATATTGTTATACCGTAGGTTATAATGGATTGACACAATGCAGTGTATATTTGTTTCACTAGTTCAGGTTTAGCTACATGCCTCAGAATTTTAAAGACATAAATAAGTTTTCGAACTCGGGACGTTAAAACTTCTAAATGATCTTTAAAATTCAGTTGATTATCAATAAGAATACCTAAATACTTAACACAGTTGGTTTTGGATAAAGATGAGCAGGTACACGGTAATCCTAAAGGTTTTATTAAATTTAAACAAATGTGAGCAGTTAACTTATAGTTGATAGTTGATTGAGGATCATTTGTCATGGAAAAGGTAATATATTTAGATTTTTAATATTAAGAGGTGGTTACTACGTAACCATACTGAGACAACATCAATTCCAGTTTTTCTCAAAAGCCTCCTTCCATGTACTCGCTGAGAATAGGAGTGCTGTGTCATCAGCATATGATATGATTTTGCCATGGTAGGATTTAAGTTTTAAGAGGTCATTTATGTAGACGAGAAATAGAATTGGGCCCAGAATACTCCCCTGAGGAACTCCGTAGCTAACAGGTACATCAGAACTACATAGGTTATTTATTGTAACACACTGTAGTCTTCCAGTTAGATAGCTTTCAAATAATTTTAGTTGTGTACCCCGTATACCAATTTTTTCAAGTTTCCTTAGCAGAACGGGGATAGAGACCGTGTCGAACGCTTTGGCAAGGTCCAGAAAAATCCCTACCGTTTTATTGCCTTTGTCTAGATTTTTGATGATATTATCGGTTAATTCGTGTACTGCATCATTGGTAGATTTTCCGGATCTAAACCCGAATTGAGAGTTTGATAGAATATTAAAGTTCTCTAGGTATTTTACAAGTCTGATATTAATAAGATTTTCCAATACTTTTGAAACAGAAGGAAGTATAAAAATAGGCATATAATTATTCACACGGTCTCTATCTCCAGATTTATATATGGGGTGAATTATGGATTTTTTAAAATAATTAGGGAATATTCCGTTCGCGAAACATAAATTAAAGATATAAGTTAATGGTGGGAATAGGATATGTCGAAAAGTTTTTAGAAAGTTATTAGAGATTTTGTCCCAACCAACTTTACATTTTGATTTTAAATTTATTATAATGCGTTCTACTTCGTCCACATCACTAGATAATAATACAAACTATTCTCTTGTTGTATCAAGGTTAATTTGTGATAATTCTTGTTTTTCTACAATACTTTTTTCTGCGATGTTTTTTCCAACAGTTGCAAAGAAATTATTAATACTATTTAAGGAGTCTTTAATACAGTCAGTTTTCAGTAATTTCTGAGACGATGATTTCTGTTTAGATGTGTGTGTAATAGTTTTAATGGCTTCCCACACTTTTTTACTGTCTTCACCCGCTAATTCTAATTGTGTTTTCTCATACTCTCTTTTAAGCTTTTTTAATAAACTATTTCAATAATTTCTGTATCGTGTATATGTGAATTTAAGTACTATATTTTCTGGTGCACGTTTTACTTTCAGATGCATTTGATCCCTGTTACGCATACATCTTATTATGATCCATGGCTCAATGTTTTTTAATCGTCTAGATGTATATACTATGCTTGTATTTTGTTCTATTGCAGTTTTTAAAGATGTAACTAAAAATTCTGTACAAAAGTTAGCGTCTTTTGACTTACATACTGTTTCAAAGTCTATATTACCTATGTCCGTAAGTAATCCTTCATTATTTAATTTAGTTCTATGTTTTAAAGAGGACTTTTTAATTTCATTCTGATTTAAGCACAGGAGTACTGCTTGATGGTCAGTTAATGTAGAAGTAATCACCAATGTAAGAGCTGGCTTTTTTGTTTCGAGCAAGACGTGGTCGAGACACGTTTTATTTTCCCTTGTTGGACAAGTGTGGGCAGGTAATAAACCATGGCTAGCACAAAGATTAAGATAATCGTGAGCTCTTTTATCTCTATATTCTGGTCTAATGTCTATGTTTAGGTCACCTATAATTGATATGTTTTTAAAAGTTGATAAATTTGACAAAATAACGTTAAGATAGAGATTAAAAGAGTCCAATTTGCAGTATGAAGGCGAAAGATATATAGCTATAATTGCAGAGACCGAGTTTCATAACAAGACAGTTTCCTTCTAGAAATGTCGGTTCTTCAAAAGCAATGTTGATATCAGATTTTGCATATACCACGATTCCGTCATTCTGCAATGCATGTTTTGTTGTTGCATGACTACTATATCCATTTAAATTAGGCAATAAAGGATCAGAACCAAGCCAGCTTTCGGTCAGAATAATAATGTCACAGTCAACCTCAAGACTTTTCAATATTACTGTGAAACCGTCAAAATTCTTATTGATACTGCGAATATTTTGATTAATAATAATAATACTATTGGGTTGGCCATGTACCAATAGTTTAGTTTGCTCAACTTCACATATGGCAGATTCAGATACAGAAATTTGATCAAGTTCATGTCCTATATCTTCATCCATTTTTATAAATTATATGGCTTTTAGGTTCTAGTTTAAATAGTTCTACTAAGTAAATTAAATTGATGAAAGAGAGTAATAAGTTGAGAGCAATGTTATTAACTATATAAGTAAGATTTTTATAGGTATTGGTTGTGTATTGTGTAAGTGTGTAGTGGTGTATTATGGAGTTATAAATATAAAGGAGTATCATTAGCATGTAGAGTGTAGAGTTATTAAAAAAGTAATAAGATAATGTGTACAGAACAAGATAAAAAATGAATAATCTAGGCTAGTACAATACGTTATTTAAATAATTAGTAGTAAAAATATTTTTCTTATTATATACACTATAAACTGGAATGATAGTCATATGTTGGCTTCCTTTAGCTTTGCAAGATCTGCTTCTTCAATAATTCTTATTTGTGGGCTTCCTTCCTTCTTCCGCAAGTATATTTTTCCATAAGATGACCAACAGAAAGCATATCCATGTGTTTTAGCAAAGTTACGAGCGAGGAAAAATAATCTTTTTCCCTTGAAAGTGAGACTTTCAGAGATGAAAATAGGCACTGAAGGGCCATCCAATTTCAGAAGTGATGTGTTAAGTTTCTTTTCACTCCCAGATTTGTTATAGGCTTTAACAGATTTTAATATACTCTCCTTCTTAAGGACGGATACAAATTCGACCACGATAGGTTTAGGCGAATGGGGTTTGGCGAATCCTCGATGTAGATCTTTTATATCCGTCGTTAGAATTGGGGTATTTATAAGATCTCCAATGCTCTTATACAAATGCTCTTATTATTATGCTTTAAAATTTTAGGAATACTACGTATTTCAATTTTTGCAGCACACGTGTTATTTTCGAAATTCTAAAGCCGGTATTTAAGTATTTTTATATAAGCGAGTTGTTCTTTACGCCCATGTTTTAGCAGATCCAACTCCTTACGAAAGTCATCATATTTATCCGACAATAATTGTATTGTGGCCGTAATTTCAGAATTATGTGTTTTAATATCTTTAATGGCAGACTGTAGGCTTTCTAGTTTATTATTTTGTTGATCAGTGAAATTATTAAATAAACTGCG